GGAACCAGGCTAGAAGAGGGCTTCCCCTTGAGAGAATGGTCAGGCAATGAAAAGTTGAGTTGTTAATGCAATCTCTGATCACTCTGCCTGAGGGCTGAATAAAACGTTCCACAAGTACTGCTTAAAGAATATAAAAATAATTTTGCACTTGTCAGCAGTTCCTCACTGAAAAATGTTTCTGGTGCTGGAACATTTTGTTCTATAACTAAAAGCTGTTGGTCCTGTGATAACTAAGTCCCCCGTCCCCCCCCCCTTTTGCCAACATGTTACCATAGGAACGAGGGAGTCAACAGAGCCAGAGCACCAACTTCCAGCTTCTCTGGAAGAACCCCAATCTTCAAATGGGGTTCTGATATTTTTTCAAGGATATTCATAAGCGTTCAATAAAGAGCAGGTGTCTGATTCTGCAAACAGCTGAGGAGAAGCAAGAGACTAAAAATATCGAGCAGTTGTCAAGGGCAGGGCTACTGTGTCCATTCTGTTTTGATATTTCAAGACATCTAACACCATGATTTTGCTGAAACCAGGGTCCATTGCATCCCAACAAATAAGACTTTATTTTAATAATTTATTAAGCAACTAATTTTTTCAGTCCACATGGGTAGGCTATAGAGCATAAACCATTACCTTTACCCTCTTCTGATTTCCCCTCCTAATCTGGACCCTCTGGAACCCCAAAGCACATTCAGCAGATTCACCCATCAGCAGCTCAAGCAATTTTTTAAATCAAACCTTTCTTCCAACTTAAACTTTCTTATTGTTACAGGGCAGGGAGAGGGGCAGCCCAAACCCTGCAAACCTGCCTATTCTAAATGGGTTCTGCCATCCGCCGCATCAACACAAAACATATGAGACTTTAATGGGAAGGAACTTTAATAAAACTAGGAAACAATACAGATAAGGCGAAGAGTCTAGTTTCTAAATGAAGCACCCAAAGTTACCCGTCCCCTCGTGGGTAAAAGTCCATCCATATGGGATTGGCCCAGAACAAGGCCCCAAAGCCTGCCACAAGTCTAAAGCGACTTCCAGTGGGGACCACAGAAAAGGGTCAGAAACAACCAGACAAGCCCGGAAGGAAAAGAGCAAAATCAAAATCAAGATAAAAGCCACCATTGTCATCTCCCCTCGGGTCTCTCACCCACATCTGTGTCACCCAGTCCATGACCAAAAGACAAGCGCAGTTTCTTCACATGTCTCTAGGCTCCACGCGCCTCCTTCTGGCTCCATCCTGCTTCCTTCCTTCCTCAGACTCCTCTGCAGCTTCTTCTCTTTCTGCTCAGCTCCACCCTCCATTTGGGTGGGGCAGGGAACCTGGAACCTCCCCCTTTCCTGGGGACCACCCTGTTACACTATGAAATAGGAAATAGTTATTTTTGTTATTTTAAATTTTTTAATTTGTTTTAAACCTTGTCAAATTAACGCCTAAGTCCTGGAATGACTATCTGGTTTACTTTTCTCCCACCGTCCCTGTTACCCTAATATTGAAAATGTTACCTTCAAGTGACTGAGATTGTTGTCTTTCCTTTTGATATATTTCCCTTCTATCCTTTGCCTGCATCCTCATCCTCAGAACTGGATTGATTAACCTCTCTAGGACCTGGGCTGCCCTGCTCCTAACCTCTCTAGGACCTGGGCTGTCCTGCTCACATAGAAGGTGGCTTTGATACTATCAGTTTGTTGGCACTCAGCTTTTCAATCCCAATTTTATTTTTTTAAAGATCTATTTTTATACAAGAACTGGGGTTCAGGCTAGAGGTGCAGGAGGGTGAGAGGATTCACCAGAGACAGAGCAGGGAGCAGAACAGGCAGAAGGACCGAAGTACACTGCTGAGGGGAGCAGCAGACGAGGCAGGAGAGGTCTGCTGTGCCATGTGGGACTCTCCTGGCCAGCCGGGAATTGAGCCAGTGCTACAGAGGCTGCAGACAGCTTCACAGCACTGCACTCAACCCACTGCACCACCGGGAAGGTCCTTCAATCCTAATTTTAGCCCCTCTATACCTTTGGGATACAGAGCCAAGTTTAGCTTAATTTAGTTATATTGTTCTTGTTTAATGAATTGTGAACTTCAAAATGAATCTGTATAGTCCTGATACTCATTTCATTCAAAATATTGTTAACCTTCCAGCCATAGTCTTTAGAACCACTTTACTCATCTCCTTTAAATTTCCAGAGCTTCACTTACCCATTAAAATCGACTTAAATTCAACCACAGATTGTCCTTGACATTCTAATTGGATGACTGTCCCTGCACTGAAAGTCATTCATGCATTTCAGAAGCAATCATTGAGTGCTGGTCCTGTGCCAGGCAACCCGATGGACTACCCATTCCTCCTCTGTGTGCCCCTCTCTGTGGACTGGAAATACTTGCCCTCTGAGTTTGCCAGAATTGGCCAGTACTATACGTCACTCAGAGCACTCTGGAATGTCAATAAGAATTGATGTTTTGGGGAAGTCCAGCAAGGTGGTAGTGAGTGGAGATGTTCGGCTTGCCTCCTCCAGACACTAACAAAAATGAACCAAAACAAAACCAAAAGCCCTGAGGGAAAAACTGATTATCGGTGTCTGTAAGAGGAGCATAAGACCTACTAAAAGGGGTAGGAAAACTCTAAGTGGACTTTGTTCAAAGTAAAACCGGAGCACTTTTCCCTCCCCCAAAAAGGGAAGATCCCCCTACAGCTATGGCTTGGGCATATGCCAGCATCAGGCTTCTTATCAGGCACTACATTGGATAAGGAGGTACACCCATGATGGAGGCTGTATTGCCAGAGAATTGTGGGCATGAGGGCACAGAGCTAGACAACTGGCTTGAAGGTGAGCCTCATAACATGGCTGAGGCATCTGAAACAGCCCAGGCTGAGAGATCTGTAACACTTGCCACCCCCACCTACCACCCTGCAAAGAAACACTTTACAACAGGAATTTCAAATTCCTGATCTGCGCGAGGTGGTCCTTTCATGCCCGTTGGCCTAGTCCTTTTTTAAACCCACTACCCCTCTCACTGGTAACTACAAAAAGTTGAGAATTTATCCTTACTTTAATACACATACAAAATTAATGATAGGAGACAGAACAAAGAAAAATCCTGAAAGGAACCCCAACTCAGAGTTGCAGAGCATGACAGAAGAGAAATTCAGAGCAAAACACTGGACATTCACATAACAGACACTTCAACCATGCAAAACACTTCAAAAACTACTGGACATCAATATTTTGATGGCTCAGGAAAATTTTGGTGATACATTTCACAAATAATAAATATATTGAGTAAGGGAATCAAAGGGAAGGAAGTTAAAAACAATCCTAAGGGATAGGGAAGAAAAAAAAAATGGTATTTTTGAGGACGTTGTTGAGATGATTTAGAGCGTGATTCCCTTTATCCCTCTTCCATGAGTAAGTGGAACTCAGATTTCATGGTAGGCACTTAGGAATATCAGGATAAAGTACAGATGGCCTAGAAAATTAGGTTGAAATCTATGACTCAAAGCAGTGAATGTTTTGTACCAGGCATGGAATAAACACAATTGGATGTTTCAGGTACAAAATTTGGCAGAGATGGAAGTATTTAGAAAGTGTGTGACCATAGTAAATGCTAAGTAAGAGTTTAATTATTCATGGAGTGACGGGGATCTAGCTCAGCAGTGCACAGTGGGAAGGGAAAATATGGGAGGCATGAGAGCTATTTCCCTAGAAAGCATGGGGCAAATTGGTGGCATCTCATCTCACTCTGATTTGATGTTGCCTCATATTTTGAGAGAATTTAAGGCAACCAGGAAGAGAAGTCTTTCTGCCACCAAATGTACCTGTGTGCTAGCAGCTATACTAATATTCTTCCTCTGCTCATTAAAATATCCTTGCCAGACCTCTCTGGTGGCACAAGGGGTTAAGTCAGCACCATCAAGCTATCAGCAGCCACTACAGCAGGAGTTCCATCTGATTCCCAAGCAGGGAGCTAACCCACCTGGCACAGCAGACCTGTCTTACCCGCTGCTCCCCTCAGCAGTGTATTTCAGTCAGTCTGCCTGTTCTGCTCCCCGCTGTCTCTGGTGAATCCTTTCACCCCTCCCCAACTCTGGCCTACACCCCAGCTCTTGTATGCATAAATAAATAAAATAAATCTTCAAAAAGTAGCCTTGTCAACTCCCCATCCCAAGACTTTAAAACCTCATTTACCTTCTGGGATTTCTTAGCCTTCCGCCTCTTTCCAGAATCATTGACACCCCCATTTGAAAGTATGCAGATGTTTTATAACAATAAAAAGAAACCAAACACTTGCTCAACCCAGAACCCCTTGGCAGTCTTTGAAAGATGGAGAGGGAGAAAAAGAGATTCCACATCTCCCTTGTGGGACTGCTGAGAGAAAAAAACTTAATAATGTCAAGTCCTAAGCACAGCATCTCACTTATAACTGGCACATGAATGTTAGCCATTATTATTGTTGCTATTATTATAAACTCATTTCAGTGCTTGCTGGCATAGAATGGAATCTCTTTAAAAGGATTATTTTACAGGGCCTCCCCGGTGGCGCAGCAGTTGAGCGCTGGGTTGCGAAGCTGCCCGCGGCCTCTGCAGCACCAGTTCGATTCCCGGCTGCTCCCCGGCCACCGGAGGAGGGTCCCACATGGCGCGCAGACCTCTCCTGCCGCCTGTTGCTCCCCTCAGCAGTGTACTTCGGTCCTTCTGCCTGCTCTGCTCCCCACTCTGGCTCTGGTGAATTCTCTCACCCTCCCGCGCTTCTGACTGTACCCAGTGCATGTACAAAACAAACAAATAAATAAATAAAACATGCCTCTATTAAAAAAAAGGGGATTATTTTACAATTCAAATAACTCACTTGAAGTAAGGAAAAGGTCTCTAATATAGCCTGGTCCCACTTGATCACTTGGACACCATCCTCCCCTGGCTGCCAGCTGGCAAGTTTTCATAATTTCACTCTTAGTATTTTTCACTACTATGTCTGCATATGAAAGGACCACAGGTTTATCAAACATTTCAAGGACAACTTTATTCTTTAGGAATTTTAGAAGGTACAACTTTGGTTCCCCCACACCACCCCTAAGTCCAGGGTTTCTGGTGTCACCTCTCCAGAGGTAGATTATTGGACTCTTCAGGGATACAGCGAGAAAGACAAGCAGTCTTCCAAAAACACTTTATTTTCTTGTTTTGCAATCTGTTCAGAATTGTGGTCAGACTATTTAGCAATCAACAGCATGGATGCAAAAGAAAACAAAAAGAAAACCACATTAAATCCCATTAGAAAGCTTTACACTTTCCACATATAACAGAAACTAAAATAACCTGTTAACACAACTAGTCAAATACACTGAGTTTTTTGCCCATGCACATGAGTACTGTGTAAAACATTCTCTTTGGAGCAGCAGGATCCTGCCATCCCCATTCTTGGCTGGGCCAAGAACAAATACAACAAACCTATTATAACCTGTAGCTTCCCCTTGCTTCTCTGGCTCGCCTCCCCTGCTGAGTTTCCTGGCAGTTGATTAAACTTCTACCACTTCCATAACTACTGCTGCCACAGGAAGCTCCATAGCCACCTTGATTTCCTGGTTTGGTAAAGTATTGGCCCTCAACACCATAGAGGTCAGAGCTTCTGCCTCCAAAATTTCCTCCTTTCGTCTTGAGTCCAGAAGCTGAAAATTGATTGTATCGATAGTAATCGCCAATTTCACTGCAGCTTCCACCACCTCCCAAATTGCTTTCATCAGTAACAAATACACCACACAAATAACCATATTCCCCATACGCCCCATAACCCCCACACTCCCCATACCTGCTGTCCCTTCTCACTCCTCCCCCATACCCGCTATACCCACCATACCCGCTATACCCACCATACCCGCTATACCCACCATACCCGCTATACCCACCATACCCGCTATACCCACCATACCCGCTATACCCACCATAACCGCTATACCCCCATAACCGCTACACGCCCCATACCCGCTACACGCCCCATACCCGCTATACGCCCCATACCCACCTCGACCACTAAACTGTCCTCCACGACCACAGTTGTCATTCCTACCAAAACCACCTCCACGACGACCGGCACCATCTCCAGGACCAGCCCCGCCCCTCTGGCTGGGGGGAGCACCGGCCAGCCCTTGCTTAGGTAGGGCTTTCCGTACTGTGCACTTGTGGCCGTTCACAATGTGTTGTTGCTGAGCGAGAATCTTGTTTACAGAAGCATGGTCGTCAAAGCTGACAAAAGCAAAGCCTCTCCTCCTGCCAGTGCCTGGATCAGTCATGACTGTAATTCTTTGAATTTCCCCATACTGCTGAAAATAATCCCTTAAGTGATGTTCATCAGTGTTTCCTCTGATGCCACCAATGAATATCTTTTTCACAGTCGCGGGAGCACTGGGTCTTTGATACTCTTCCTTTGGCACCGCCTTCTTTGGCTCCACAACTCTGCCATCCACCTTGTGTGGTTTTGCCTTCATGGCTTCATCCATCTCCTCCATCGTGGCATAAGTGATAAACCCAAAGCCTCTGGACCGCTGGGTGTTGGGATCTCTTATTACCACACAGTCTATGACCTTTCCCCATTTTGCAAAATGGCTTCGCAGACTCTTATCTGTTGTTTCTAAGCTCAGACCTCCAACGAAGAGCTTCCGCTGCTGTTCTGGCACCTTAGGAGATCCTGACTTGGACATGTTGACTATCCTGTGTCTTACGCCGGTATCCACAGCAGAAAACCAATACTTCTTTCTGTTTTGAAGAAAGGAAAGGTCCTATTAGTTTGTTTGCCTAGAATAAATTGAGGTGGGGGTGATGGATGGAGAATGTGGGCAAGAGGACAAGGTGGGGTTCTCACGCCTCTCCACCCACACCTGGTCTGCTATTCGGGTATCTAGCCTGGCACTCTTAGCCCTGGGACCTTGAATCTTGGGGAAACCAAACAAAACAAACAAGAGGCATGGTGAAGAGAGACTTGGGAACATCTACCCGCGCTGCCACCCCAGCCTCAGCTCAGGGATGGTGCTGAGATCCGGATGCCTTGCCCTCTACCTGAGCTGTTGGCAGAGCTACCAAAAACACCAGAGGTTAGCGGGTTCCAGGCCTATATTTTGGGTTACACACCAGGGGTGTCTGCAAGTTGCAAAGCAGATGAGAAACGCCTTGTGGCTCCTGAGGTCCCTGGTGGAGCAAACACCCCTCACGCCCCTTGCCCCCGGACTTCAGATACCTCTGCCCTGCTATATTCTCTTCACACCACCCAACTAGAGAAACCTCCCACTTCAGTACAGGAAACTCACGCGACCCAGAAGTTAAGATAACCATGAAAGGGCCTCCCCGGTGGCGCAGCGGTTGAGCGCTGGGTTGCGAAGCTGCCCGCGGCCTCTGCGGCGCCGGTTCGATCCCCGGCTGCTCCCCGGCCACCGGAGGAGGGTCCCGCATGGCGCGCAGACCTCTCCTGCCGCCCGCTGCTCCCCTCAGCAGTGTACTTCCATCCTTCTGCCTGCTCTGCTCCCCGCTCTGGCTCTGGTGAATTCTCTCACCCTCCCAGGCTTCTGACTGTACCCAGTGCATGTATAAATAAACAAATCTTAAAAAAAATAATAATAACCATGAAAGATAAAGATACCTCATGCTTAAAGCAGAGAGAGCAAAGATGTGCGGAGTTAGCATAATTGTATAAGGGGAAGCCGGGGAGGAAAGGCCCTTCCTCCAGGCTGAGACTCACCGGAGCAGGGTGAGGGCACGAGGGCTGTGCAGGGCAAGGCTTGCAGAGATGGTGGTCAGTCCCAGGGCTGTCTCCTGACAGTAAGACTGTGCTGGGCTCTGCTCTATTTATGTGCCACCGCTAGGGAGTTCCTAGATTGGGTTACACCCTGATCATCCAATCATCTTGATTCCATTATGGGTTTCTTCCAAATCTCCAAGCATGCCCGGGAGGGTGGGTAGCTCAATGGATTATTTCTTCTCCGCACTGATTTCCTTTAATCCCCCTAGGTAGGGTGGGTTCCGGTAGAAGGGAACAAGTCTCAGCTGCTTAGCAAGGCTACAAGATGGCAGGTACTCTGGAGCGTTATTAGACATGTCATCCAGCCCCTGACCAGAACGTTTCCACCATCATCTTTAATTTCACTCACCACCCTTTAGTTAAATGCAAAAACTTGTCTTTTTTTTAAAAAAAAAAAAAAACACAAAAACCATTCTGATTGCTTGCCTCATCTTCAAACACTCTTGCCTTGGATTCCATGACACCCAGACTCCTGGATATGCTCCGCCTCCTAGTTGCTCATTTCTGGTCTTCTTTGTGGGTCTTCAGTCTGTATTAGGCCATCATGCTGCTCCGTGGTCCTAGGTGCTGTCCCTTCTCACTCCCTGCGGCTTTTATTTTTCTCATTTTTTTTTTTTTAGAGGCATGCTTTATTTATTTATTTGTTTGTTTGTTTGGTTGGTTATACAAGCACTGGGTACAGTCAGAAGCGCGGGAGGGTGAGAGAATTCACCAGAGCCAGAGCAGGGAGCAGAGCAGGCAGAAGGACGGAAGTACACTGCTGAGGGGAGCAGCGGGCGGCAGGAGAGGTCTGCGCGCCATGTGGGACCCTCCTCCGGTGGCCAGGGAGCAGCCGGGAATCGAACCGGCGCTGCAGAGGCCGCGGGCAGCTTCGCAACCCAGCGCTAAACCGCTGCGCCACCGGGGAGGCCCCCTCGCGGCTTTTAAACATTGTATTTCTGTGTATGTCTCAATCAACATTCATGTTTCGTACCTCCTGATATTCTTTTTTTTAAATGCTTTTTTTAAAAAGATTATTTATACAAACGAGAGCTGGGGTGCAGGTAAGAGGATCCACCAGAGACAGAGTGGGGAACAGAACAGGCAGATCTACTGAAATACACTGCTGAGGGGAGCAGCCGGCAAGACAGGCAAGGTCTGCTGTGCCATGTGTGTCATCTCCCTGGTGGGGATCGAGCTCCTGCTGCAGTGGCTGAGGATAGCTTCATAGTGCTGCGACTTAACCCCTTGTGCCACCAGGGAGGCCCCTCTCCTGAGATCCTGGCAGGCCTAATGCTCTTGATTTTTTAATAGGTCAAAACCAGGACCCCACCACCGTCTCGTTCCTCCTCACCTCAGACAAGCCTGCTCTCCTAGTCTCCCCCACCCACAGTTTCCTAAACCAGAAACTTGAGTGTTAAGCTCAACTTTACCCTTTATGTCCATCCGCTCCCACATCAACAAGCCAACAGGTTCTACCCAGTCTGCCTCTTTTTTTTTAAGTTTTATTTTTTTAATATTTTATATAATTCTTACATCATTTTTCATCTTTGTATGCATTTTCATTATGGTTATATTGCATGCATTTTCATTATGGTATGCATTTTCATGCATGCATTTTCATGGTGGTTATATTCCCCATACAATTGCACTGCCCCCCTTATTTTGACTCTAGTCCTTCCTGTCCCTGCCCTTCCCTCCCCACCCTTCCACCATGTGTCTCTGGTTTAGGTTGCTTGTTGATTTTAATTTTTACTTTGTATTGCCTCTTGAGTGCCTCCCAGCCCTCGCAGCTGAGGCCTTTCTGCAGCGTCTCCCTGCTCATTCAGGGCAGCGGCTCCTCGTTGAACTTCCTTCATGACTCCCACAAGGGGTCAGGACAGTGTTTCTATAACATGATCCTAAACATGTTTTTCCCCATCTTAAAAGTTTTCACATTTCTCCACCTTTTACAGAATAAAGCCCAAACTCTTCGGGGGGCTTAGAAAAGCCTGTCAGGGAAAGACAGCTGCTCAGCTCCCCAGCAGCACGTCCTGCAGGAACTCCCGAAAACTCACTTATTATGAGTTGTGAGAACGCACTGCTCATTGTGCTGGGGCCTCCCTGGTGGCACAGGGGCTAAACACAGTGCTATCAAGCTATCCCCAGCCACTGCACCACGACCAGGAGTTCGATCCTGGCCAGCCAGGGAGCAATCCACATGGCACAGCAGAACTCTCCTGTCTCGCCCGCTGCTCCCCTCAGCAGTGTATTTTCAGTAGACTTGCTTGTTCTGTTCCCCACTCTCTCTGGTGACTCCTCTCACCCTCCCCACCTCTGGTCTACACCCCAGTTCTTGCATGCATGCATGCATGCATAAATGTTAAAAACAAAACAAAACAAAACAAAAAAAAAACATAGCTCTCTGGCTACCAGGTCTTCTTTGGGGTTCTTTCTTTTCTGTGCTCTGCTTCAGCTAGCCTCTCTCTCTTCCCTCTGTGCCCTTGCCTTCTTTTTCTTTTAAAGTTTTTCAGAGCTATAATTGTAGAATTTCCTATAAATACTGTGTATTTATAAAAAGAAAAACCACACAAGTTAAAAGTTTATTGATGGAATAGTAATGTGTATCCACTGCAAAAATTCACTAAATTATCATGCAAAAGAACAAACAAACAGAAAGAAAAAAAAAAAAACCTGTTTGGGTAGAAAATCCCAATGACCTACCTATTTTAATCCTTTCATGTTATATTTGCCTTCTCTAAAATCTCATCAACTGCTAGTAAATGTCTTTGTAAAGTCAGGACTGGACACAGTGCAGGTTTTCTGATCCCATGCAGACCGGGTAAAGGAGGAGTCAGAGTCCTCAGTAGTTTTGCAGGTTTTTTATTTGGGGTTCACCAGGCATATGGCAGGCAGGGGTGCTGGCTGGGAGGCTGGCAGGTCTCCCAGCCCCCAGCAAGTCTTCACTCTATCTAGGCTCTCGCGTTCGTTCTGCTGCTTCTCGGCTTCGGCTCCTACTGTTATAGGACAGGGAGAGGGGCACCCCACCCTGTTGCACTACTGCTGCTGCTGCTGCTGCTGGCGTCCCCCCAGTGACGCCGCCCTTAAAAACACAGTCTTAACTCAGCTGAATCCCATCTACCTATGCCCACACCCTATTCCAGGTGCACGCCATCAGGCATGCATTCAGGACAAGGATCCATCATCTATCCTGATGGCGGAAGGGCAGAAAAGCCTGACATTTTCTTTACCCTACAGTCTTGATTTAAAAAAAAGAAAAAAACAAGTGTAATCTGTGGATAAAGTGGTCAGTGTGTGGCAAGCAGGAAGCAGCGGGCAGGGCACGAGAGTGGGATTGTATGTTCTGCCAGCCCTGCAGCTCGGCTCCTGTGGCCCCACACCCACACCCACACCCTGAGAGCAGTGAGTGAAGGGAATTTAATGTTGCTTTTAAAATATTAGGTTAAAGGTGCTTTGTTAGAGATTAAAGTTTATTTGTTTGTCCATTTATTCATTTTATACTTAAAACAACTCCTAATATGTAGTAGTGAGACAGCTGTATTTTTAATGTCTTTTTTTCTTTGTATTTTTTAAAAGATTATTTTATTTATTCATGCATACAAGAGCTGGGGTATAGGCTGGAGGTGCGGGGGTGGGGAGGGTGAGAGGATTCACCAGAGACAGAGTGGGGAGCAAACAGGAGGATCGACTGAAATACGCTGCTGGGGGAGCAGCGGGTGAGACTCGGGAGGTCTGCTCTGTCATGTGGGTCAGTTCCCGGGCCAGGGATAGTGCCAGGGAGACCCTTTCTTTGTGTTTTTAAGGTCCTAACAAGTGAAAGCAATATAGTTTTGGCATCTGATCTGGATTTAAGTCTCGATTCTGCCACTTTGTAACTACAACTACTTCAAATGACTATTGGAAAAATTTAATGCTCAGTGCCTGATATATATTTAAGTTAATGATTTAAGTTAACACATGTTTATCCTGATAAGTTAATTGAAGGAAAACTTTCAGGCCTGGGTGCTATGGCCAGCCCCATTCAGCTTCTGTCCTGAGTCATGGAACCAGCTCACTACCAGTTCTTATTATAGGTGTGCCCTGAGAAGTTTCTTCCCTTCCTGAACCACCAAGCCTGCCATGGGCACCCTTCTGTATGCTTCCATGGCACCAATGCCTACCTGGTCAGCACTGGTCACATGGTCTCTAATGACAGCTTGCTTATTTGTGTTCCCATTATGTTAGGGGGAAATAATGTCCTGAGTTAATCCAATACAGGCTTTGTGGACCCCACCCCCACTCCAGACTAAAGCCATCAAGACTCTGGGAAAAGACAAATCCCATCACCACCAAAGGGAAGGTGGCTGGGACCTGAGGGTGGAGTTGGGCAACCAAGTTAAATATAAAACCAAACACGTGGGCCTTGGTGGGGGTCGCTATCGCTCGCCTCCTGGCTTCACCGCTCCTGGCTGGCGGCCAGCTCTCAAAGTGCCTTTTTGGGATTCCTAAAAACTTTGTCTCCCACTTTTCTCCCTGAGCTGTACATTTCCTCATTTCCCCTTCCCTTGTAAATAAACCTTTTATTAACCTTTTCGCGTGTGCCTGCAGTAGAGCATTGATAAGTCCTTTTAAGCGTGCGGATGAGGACCCACAGTCAGGCACCCCGTTTTGTATCGGGGTTAGTCTACAACAATTAGACGATAATCACTTTGTAACAAAGGACTCTGTCTACCTTGTCTCCTGCTGGATTCCCAGCACATAGAAGAGGCTAACGAGAAATTGGAAGTATGACCCTACAACGCCTTTGGAAAACTATTTGACCATATGAAACAAGAGCCTGTCCCTCAAAGATGGTACCTCGGGTAAACCAGGGGTATGCTGTGAGGGCCTGGAGCTTCCCCTCTGGAATTGTGCTGGCTAAGTTCAAACCCTGCCTCTGCCACTCGCTCCTATGTGACCTTTTGGAGTAGAGTTCAGGTCACTTCACTTCTCCATGTCTCCTT